GCACAACTTGCTTAGGTTGATATGCAGTAGTTTTCCTTCATTTGAATGTAGCCAATGAGAGCCAATCAGATGTCATCTTGTTTTGGCAATGATTCAGTCAGGTCACAGTAGGATTCAGCTACTGGAACTGAGAGGAGGACATTTTCCAAAAGGTTTCCACAATTTTGGCCGCTAGTGTAACAACTGTGGCGTCCCATCACAGAAGAGAATTGCACTACAAGGAAATCGTGTGATACTATCAACATTTCCCTTGGCACATCAGGAGAAGGATTTGACATTGCCTGCTATTTGAAACCCATGATTGTAGGGTGCTACTATGAATCTGTATATTTAGCAGTTACTCTGTAGAAAATAGTAGGATGTCACCTGGCTGACAAACAATGCACTAACTGGGTGGATCAAAAGCTGAAACTGGTTTAGCTTAAAACCATGAGAATATCTACAGCAGACCTCCCTTTTCCGAAGAAATGCATGTAGCCTAGGTGGATGTGATGAATACACCAAACAGCCTTGCCAGCATAGTGCAACAATATATAAGAGGGAAGAATCATAGAATTGTCTCTCCTGTAGATATACATCAGAGTTGGAGAAGCTGTGGACCTCTGGATGTTGCTGCAGTACAAATCCCTGACCAGTGGCTGGGCTAATGGAAGTTGGAGTCCAACCACTTCTGGACTCGTAGATGGCAACAGGTTCCCCAGCCCTGATCTAGGTTTATACACAGGGACATGTGGACACCAGCAGTCCTTAAGGGCTTTCTTCTACCAATCTGTTTTCAGTTAGGTTTCCTTACCTTTTTGGTGTAGGCTCTCCTCCCCCACCCTTAATCGCAGGAGCAAATATACCTTTCAATGACACAGACATGAGCTAGTTAAATATTGCGAGTCTCTCACTGTTCTAATATCTCACAGGCTAGATAGCACATGAGTTGTTGTTGCTGCTGTTTTTTTTAACTGGCTATCGAGTCTGGAGCACAGATAGTTCTCCAAAGCTGATTAGTGCTACCTGTGTTACGAGTTCTTTATAATGTTGTCACTGCTAATTGGCTCGTTAGCGCCAACAGCACACTAATTACCTCTTTTATCTAAACCTAAATTATCCAACAAGTTGTAGTGTCCTTAAAAATGCTGGATACTTAATGAAACTGCTGCAGATGGGGGTAGCTTTTGGTATAATATTATGAAAAAATATGCAGATCGTGTCTGCAGTTAAGCTCTACAACTCCTACCTTCCAGTATTTTGATGTATAAAATGTTGTACCTTTCCTGAGTGAACATATCACCAAGTTCTTCAGAAGGATATTGTTTATTCCCTGTTGTTATTTTTATTAATCATAGCTTCTACAGCTAGTGCGCTCTCTCTCTCTCTGTGTGTGTGTGGTTATATATAACAAACAGTTGCCCTCTTTCCCACTTTGTCAAATATCTGTGACCTGATTACAGAATGGCCTCAATTTGACTTGATGTTAGTAAGAGCTGCTCAACCCCCCCCCTCAGTAATGGAAAAAAAGCTGCAGTAGGAATGTGTGAATTACAGTGTAATTCTGTACAGCAGGGGCAACCAAAGTGGAACACTCTAGATACTGTTGGACCCCAACTTCCATCAGTCCCAGCCAGCATGGCCAGTGCTCAGAGATGATGGAAGTCATTGGTCAACAGTATTAACTAATACAGATTAATGGCAACATGGCTAAGTGGTTTACAAAACATAAAAACCAATTTGCACAACGTTGTTAAAATATGGAATGAAAAAACACACCCTCAATAAACCACACAATAGAATGATCCCATTAGAACATAGCCACTCATGATTAAAATATGCAATAGAACAAACCCATTAAAACTGAAACAGGAGACTAAGGTCAAGAGATCAAGGGAATGCCTGTGAAAACAGATGCATCTTCAAAAATTGGTGGACTGCCAATTCAGATGAGACTACAGAGTCCATCCCTTGTGTGCATGTTTCTCAGAAAAAAGCTTTTTTTCTAGTTCAGTGGGGTTCATTCCCAGGTAAGTGGATATAGACTTGTACTCTTATGAAGCAGAGGATTTTCCACATTCTGCAACTTGGGATCCTTCTGCCTGGTGTTTCGCTCCTACTGAATTATTGTTTAACCAGGGGAATTTCTAAAATTACGAACGAATTATTGCAGCTTTCAGTTCCTTCAATTTACTTGCATCTTTCCCCTCTTTGGGTTACCAATGCTCCAAATGTCTTAATTCCAGGACATCCACAAGATTGTTTAAAACCCTTTAATCCTTGCAATAACCTCTTTCTATACAGGTTAGCAGACAGCTGGTTCACAGACCCTCCCGATTAATAATAATAATAATAATAATAATAATAATAATAATAATTTTATCATTTATAACCCACCCATCTGGCTAGGTTTCCCCAGCCACTCTGGGCGGCTCCCAACAGAGGACTAAAAACAGAATAAAACTTCAAACATTAAAAACTTCCCTAAACAGGGCTGCCTTCAGATGCCTTTTAAAAGTCAGATAGTTGCATATTTCCTTGACATCTGGTGGGAGGACATTCCACAGGGTGGGTTCCACTACCAAGAAGGCCCTCCCTGTAACCCCACTTCTTGCAGTAAGGCAACTGCCAGAAGGCCCTCGGTGCTGGACCTCAGCATCCGAGCTGAACGATGGGGGTGGAGACGCTCCTTTAGGTATACTGGGCCTAGGCCATTTAGGGCTTTAAAGGTCAGCACCAACACTTTGAATTGTGCTCAGAAACGTGCTGGAAGCCAATGTAGGTCTTTAAGGACTGGTGTAATATGGTCTCAGCAGCCACTCCAAGTCACCAGTCTGGCTGATTAGTTGTAGTTTCTGGGTCACCTTCAAAGGTAACCCCACGTAGAGCGCATTGCAGTAGTCCAAGCGGGAGATAACTAGAGCATGCACTACTCTGACGAGACAGTCTGCGGGCATGTAGGAACTCAGCCTGCATACCAGATGGAACTGGTAAACAGCTGCCCTGGACACATAATTGACCTGCACCTCCATGGACAGCTGTGAGTCCAAAATGACTCCCAGGCTGCACACCTGGTCCTTCAGGGGCACAGTTACCCCATTCAGGACCAGGGAGTCCCCCACACCTGCTCTCCTGATGTCCCCCCAAAACAGTACTGTCTTGTCAGGATTCAACCTCAATCTGTTAGCCGCCATCCATCCTCCAACTGCCTCCAGGCACTCACACAGGACCTTCACTGCCTTCACTGGTTCTGATTTGAAGGAGAGGTAGAGCTGGGTATCATCCACAGGCTGATGAACACCCAACCCCCCCTGATGACTCCAGCATCAAGCAGCAACTTGCTGTAACGGAACCATCGCAAATCATAACCACAGGCACAATTTAAACAAGCCCCCGCGCCCCAAGCCTTCAAACTTTAATCTGCAGTGATTATTATATATTATGTTCATATCACATTTTTCCTGCGAGAGCTCAAGGGAGTGTAAATGGTCCCTGCCCCAATTTTGATCCTCACAATGACTTTGTGAGGTAGCTTAGGCTGGGTAGCAAGCTTCATGGCTGAATTTGATTTGAACCTGAGTTTCCCTAGTCCTACTCTAAGGCTTCATCTGCACTATACATTTAAAGCAGTATTATATCAAATTAAACAGTCATGGTTTTCCTCCAAGCATCCTGTTATTTGCTAAGGGTGCTGAGATTTGCTCAGAGACCTAATTTTCCCTCACAGAGCTACAAATTCTGTGGCTTTTAATAACCAATCCCTTTTCCTAGGGAACTCTGGAAAGTGTAGCTCTGTGAGGAAATATAGGGTTTCCTAACAACTCTCAGCACCTGAAACATGGTTCTTAAAAATAAACAACAACCAACCAAACAACCGAAGGGTGCATTTATCCGTCCAAGCAATCCTGCTATTTCAAATCCTTTATCTTACTTCTAAATACCTATTTCCCATTGAGCAGAGTGCCTTCCCCTCTAAGTTCAAATGTAAAAAAAAAGTCTGGTTATCCCCTCTCCCACACCTAGGCTTTTTGGGACTTTGTAAGATGGACTTCCCTGTCCTATATTATATTTATGTAGTAATTCTGGTACTGGAGAGGGCTCAGGGGTGACGGCATCTTGACAGCAGTGGGGAAGCCATAGTGGCAATGCTCCATTTCCCCTCTGAGCCCAAGTCACCTATGGGATCACGAGCTACAGCATGAATCAGTTTGCAAGAACGAATTCCATGCAGATCTCTGCCATGAAGCAGCAGTCACTTAGCAACCACGTGAATCAACCAGTCTCTGCTGAAAAAGTTTAATATAGCTGCCTGTCTTCTGCAATGTTTTGAAAATCAATTCCGATGTGAATTTCCGTGTTGATGAACAGGTGCCAACAAGATGCTTGTCAATTAGCATGCTGTGTTTGCGGGAAAAGCTATACCTTATTTTAAGATGGTGTTTTTCCTTCCAACGTGTGACATCTTATTTTTTTACAAAATAAATAAATAAATATGCAGACATTATTCTGCACCTGAAATGTTTTCATAGTCTCCCCCTGCCTCCCCACACCTGATTGAAAAAAGGAAAGAAATTAGCATTTAAATAGCACCATGTCGTACATTGCAGCAACAGAAGTTTTGTAAGCTGGTTAGCCCTTGTTGAAGGGTGTTACAAAATGGAAACATACAATGATGTCTGGAGAGAGAGAGAGGAAAAAAACACACCCTGGAATTATGGTCTCTAATTTACAACTGTCTTTGTAACTGGAAGGGAAATGAAGGTGCTCAGCTGGTGATAAAAAGACCATAAATGAGAGAGAGAAAGACTAGCTATTCAAATGTGATAAGGACCATAAGGGAAAGAGCTGTAGCTCAGTGGTCAAACACCTGCTTTGCATGCAGAAAATCTCAGGTTCAATCTCTGTCATTTCTAGGTAGGGCGAGGAGGGAATCCTGCCTAATTTGAGACTTCCACAGAATTGTAGAGTTGGAAGAGACCACAAGAGTCATCTAGTTCAATCCCCTGTAATACAGGAATCTTTTCCCCAATGTGGGGTTCGAACCCACAACCCTGAGATTAAGAGTCTCATGTTCTATTGACTGAGCTATCCCTTTGAGTATCCTGAATCCCTGGGAAGCTGCTCACAGGCTTTGTAGATAATATTTAGATAAAGGGAAAGAAAGGGGAGAGTTTCTGGGCCTCACAGTGGGATAGAGCCAACCTTTCCCCTCCAGCCCTACAGCTCTGTAAACTAGGGGCAAAACCAGACAAAACTACACCGTACGCAGCACAAAGGGGGCAAGGAGCGTATATATGAAAATAGTGAGTGTCAAAGAGCACCAATGCAGGTTTGGCCCACCAGATGTTGTTGCACTCTTATCCCTGACCATTGGTCATATACGCTGAGCAACATCCGTAGGGCCAGAGATTCTCCACCCTGATCAAATGCTTTGGATTTGGAAAAAGTCACTCTAGTGTTGCCCATCACTTTCTAAAAGTACACGCCTATAATAAGTACAATAAGTCTAGGATCAAGTACCAGGTTTCAGAACTGCCACGCACACATGGAGAAGACCATTTTCCACTTATGCCTACTGGCACTGCAGGAGAATATATGTGTGTATCCCGAGAAGAATTTCCTTTGGCCTCATCTCTGAACCTAGCAAAATTAACTGTTGCTTACGCCGCAAAGCAGTGCATGGTTTCTTAGAATGAAGGTCAGCAGGCTGGTTCTACGTAACATGCCTCAGCATTCATGCTGTCAATAAATAGCAGCCACTGAGACATTGGCAACACCATCCCTGTGACAAATTCCACCCTTTTCATCACTGTCATGACTTGGAAGTCACTGAACAAGGAGGACAGCAAAATGTCTTGGTGAGAGGGCATAAGAAGAAGGAAGTCTCCTGAGGTGTGGCTGAGGCTTCCAAAAAAGCTAAATGTATTATTCTGGACCTTAGCACAACATGATGCCTTAATCCAAGGATGGGGAACCATTTTCCACCAGGTTGAGGGCCACATTCCCTTCTGGTGAACCTTCCAGGGGCCATGTGCAGTGGCAAAAGTAGATTAAACAGTAAATATAAAGTTGTGTTGTTGTTGTTGTTTTGCATTTTAAATGTATGGTGTGAATGTGGCCTAAATATAGCATACAGTCGTACCTTGGTTTTCGAACAGAATGCGTTCTGGAAGTCCGTTTGACTTCCGAAATGTTCTGAAACCAAGGCGCGGCTTCTGATTGGCTGCAGGAGTGTCCTGCAGCCAATCAGAAGTCGCGCAAGACATTTGACTTCTGAGGCAAAGTTCACAAACCGGAACACCTACTTCCGGGTTTGCGGAGTTTCAGCTCCAAGTTGTTCGTGAAATAAGCTGTTTGAAAACCAAGGTACGACTGTACTGCCATGCAAGTGTGTGTGTTTTAAAGTGTCTTTGCGGCCTACACGCCTTATAGCTCTTCCTCATCAGGCTGAATATCCATGTTTCCAAACATGGTATTAAAATGAAGATATTAAAATGAAGTCTTCTGCCTACACATATTCCCCGCCCAGCAAATAACAAATGCGCTCTTAATGAAATTCATTAAGGGCAACCTGAGGGAACATTCCCAGATGGAGGAGACACTGACAGGTGTGAGGGCAGCTGGGCAGCTGTGGAACCGTGGGAAGAATGACGAGAGTCGAATAAATGCTTGAATGCCTCAGGGTAAGAAGTATAAGACACGGAGACAGGCAACACCAGGAGAAAAACATGTAAAAAGTGATTTGTTTGTAAACAGCTTGCAAGATTTAATTTGGTACAATTTCAACAACTAAGCCTTCTCCCAAATGGCTCCTTGTCAAAAAATGAAAGCCTGGTGGTTTTTCTCTCCTTTTTCTTTTTCATTGAACAAGTTGCATTTAAACCTAAAACTCTTAATGTACAGCAGCAGCAGCAGCAGAAGCTCCGAGAGAAAAGGTGAAACACACTGTTTTCGGCCAAACTCATACTTATAATGCTTTTCAGATGAAGAAGAGACATACTTCTCTTTTTGTTGCCTGCTTGCTTCTCTATTGTGCTCCACCGCCAATTTTGTTGTATAGAATCCCAACCATTTCTAAATTACAGTGTGAAGAAAACGATAGCAGCATGAGAAGAATGATATAACCGCTGTTATTTTATTTAATTTTTTTTAGCAATTTCTTTTCATCAAAAAGCCAGGCCCTTCAAAGGGAAGAAAAATGGTCCCAGAAAAAGGCCAAAAATGGGAAAAGTACTTTGAGAGTAACGGTTATTTATCTTTATATAAAAGCCACTCCCTGTGTCCTCTCACAGCCTAGCCATGACCACAAACGTAAGTTTGCGGTTATGCAGATGTTATATAAATGGACATGTGGCACTGGGCTCTGTGGGTCTCGCTGAGTTCCAGTCATCAGACTGTTATTTGGGATGGAGGGCATACCACCTGCCCTAGTCACTGGAGTTGACATGGGTGGGGGCAAGTTTGGTATACCTGAGTGCAACCCTTTATTTTCTGCCATTGAAGTGAACGGCTGAATTGATTACAGTAATGATGTTCCTTATACTAAACAGAGCTGGAATGATGAATAATAATAATAATAATAATTTTATTATTTATACTCCTGCCCATCTGACTGGGATGCCCCAGACACTCTGGGTGGCTTCCAGCATATACAAGAACATAATAAAACATTAAACATTAAGAACTTCCCTATTCAGGGCTGCCTCTAGATGCCTTCGAAAGCTTGTATAGTGACTTAGCTCCCTGACATCTAATGGGAGGGTGTTCCACAAGATGGGCGCCACTACTAAGAGCCCGGCCCTGAGCCCTGAGCCCGGCTTCGGCTGGGGAGGGCGGGATATAAATAAAATTTATTATTATTATTACTAAGAAGGTCCTTTGCCTGGTTCCCTGCAACCTCACTTCTCACTGTGAGGGAACCACCAGAAGGCCCTTGGAACTGGATCTAAGTGTCTGGGCTGAGCGATGGGGGTGGAGACACTCCTTCAGGTAGACAGGGCCAAGGCCATTTGGGGCTTTAAAGGTCAGCACCAATACTTTGGATTGTGCTCTGAAACATACTGAGGTTCAGGGGCAAAATCTAAGAGTGGCCTGTGGGGAGGAGGAAAGCCCACCACCACCATGGACAACTTGTGAGGGTGGATTCCCTCCCCCAGTCTTAGTTCTTATCCCTGCAGCTCTTTATTCTGAACCCCTTAAATGCCAAAATACATTGAATGAGGTTAGAATAAAGAGGAGCAGGGACTAAACCAGACAGCAGATAGGGAAGCACATGCCACAAGCCCTCCATGAGGGATGGTCTCCAACCCCACCTTTGGTTCCCCCCTAACTGCAGGGTCTTAATCTTCACCAGTTACATGTAATGGAGTGAGGAAGCATCAATGCTTCTCCCCCATGGATTTTAATTCAAAGGGAAGAATTATGTGATTTGAAGAGTTGACATCTTCCCTGAGGCAGGTTCAACAAACCCACCAAATTCATTTCTAAGCCTAGCTCAGGAGGATTTTCCTAGCATCTCAAAATGGCAACTACTTCTAGGGTTAGTGTGCAAAGGGTTGCAGCCCATTGTGTTTATAAAAAAGAAAAATCCTGGAAGAAACATGGTAGCTTTTTGATATCACCCATTTATTCATTACTTCAGGGGTGGGGAGCCTAGGACCGACCAGATGTTGCTGGACTCCAAACCCCATCAGCTTTGGCCAGAATGCAAGTGGTCAGGGATGACGGGTGGTGTAGTTCAAGACCTGTCCTAGCTAATCCATCATGGAATTGCCTATGTCCTAAGGTTGCCCTTAGATGCCCTGTTCTCTGGCCTGTCATTCTTAAGAGATTCAATGGAGACCCGGCCTTTTCAGTGGTGGCACACAAGGTTCTACCTTGTGATATCTGTCAGGCTCCCTCTCTTCCTTCATTCATATGGGATTTGAAAACTCGCCTATTTAAAATTCAATCAGGCTTTAATGCAAATGTTCATATACCTATATATGTTTGTGTGTGTATCCAACAAAGTAATTCCATTAGAAGAAGAACTTGTAGCTTCACAATGGAACTTCTCCCTCTCTGTTTGGGCACTCCCCAAATCTGTTCTAGGTATTCCCCCACCCCTCCATAGCAGATTTGGGAAGGATGTTGATAGTTCCGTTGCACAAATGGAATTGCACTAATTAAACAACTTCATTTATTACTGCCCTTGATTTTTGAACACACTTTAATTATCTGCTGATTTAAAGACTGTATTAGTCCAATGTCACTCTCTTATAATTTTAACAGCAATGGTATTTTGGTTTTAACTGTTCTAATTTATTACTGCCTTTACAAGCTGTTTTGGGTTTAATTCCTTATTTTAAAAAGCTGGATACAAATAATAATATATTTAGGGTGTGAGCTCAAATAATATTTTTTAAGAGCTATGTGCAGCTACTAATTGGCCATAGTAATGCTGGCAAAAGCTAAAAGAATATATGACAAACATTTGCTGGCCTTTTTCATGACTAATAGGACATTTCACATCACTCTTCTGAACATGCCAGGAATATGGGGGTAAATATGCCATTTACCTAATAGCTACTGGAAAACACATGGACATCATAATTCTAAACATTCAGAATAAACTGCTTAGTGAGTTTTGAGCCAAGATTTATTTTCCAAATTATCAATAAATACAGAGAAATCACTATTTGCTTAGGCACTGTTCATTAAAACAGAAAGAGGGGAAAAATGTGAAACAGATTATTTATAAACTTGTTCATCTGTAACATTTGCTGTTGAGCATATCTTTAAAAGACTGAAATGTCTACCACAAAGATTTTACATTATTTCAGCTTGACTCACACAACTACTGTCTATCTCCCTCCCAGCAATTTTGTAATTATTCTATGGATGAGATTCATGCAATATTTAGAGTTGTCAATTAAAAACAACCCCAAATGGATCCTTAGTTGTCATATGAACCAGTGTTTCACATTGCTGTTTACACAGTGCCTGAGAATAATATAAATGGACTTAGAATCCTTTCATGAGGGAAATTCATGTGACTATCGTAGTTGGAATGAACACAAAAATAATCCCATGGTGGGCATGGATTGACTTTTCACCTTTTT